GTCATCTTGGAAAACAAAGTTATTGCCAAACCTTGCCCTAGCATATGACTGAAATATCGTTTCTATGTGATGCCTGTAAGAAGCGCCATTGACGTTTCCCTGGAAGATATGAAGAGTAGTTTTTCCACCATGATGAACAGCTGCCCAAACATGTACTGCACCACCTCTATTCTCCAGGTAAACGACGAACACAAATCCTACAATCAGCTTTAACAAGCCAGAAACAGGACTCGTCTGAAAAGATGACATGTCGCCAGTGTCCTAACTGTAAGTTGGCATGCTGTCTTGCCCAAGTAACACGGTGACGACGGTGAATTCTGGTTAATATCAGTGTGCAGATAGCCCTTCTTACAAAATAACCTTGTTTGGTCAGTCTTCTATTCACAGTTCTTCTAAATGACCTGGAATGAATGTTCATACCATTCCTGTTGTAAAGTGTTGCAAAGCTTCTTTCAACTTTGACGTGTTAATCTAATCAAAACGCGGTCATCTAGGGCAGTAATTTTCAGTGTCTACCAGTAGACTTTCCTGGAACAATGTTTCCTGTAGCCCCATGACGTTTTTGAATTATGGATACAATACGCTAGGAGTATTCTGTTATTCTAGCAATGTCCGTTTGTTTCACACCATTTCTAGACATTCGAACAATTTGACACCCTATAATTTCTGGTACGTGACGAGACCTGACTCTACACCAAGTACAGAGACATTCTTTGAACAAAGCGTTGATCTATTTCAAAAAAGATTAAACCAAAAGCACACCCTTTTATACAAAACGGGTGTGTGTGTGTTTTGACGAACAAATGCTCAAAAAAACTTTTACAGACAAGAATAACAACTCGTACATGTTTGTCCGATCATACGCTACCTTCTCTGTTACTACTCGGGCACATATTTACTCAATAACTACTCCATGCATGTAGACAATAACGTCAATATTGAACAATATGCAAACATTTTGACCAAGACTATTGTTGGTGTTGTTCAATGTTTATTCAAACGGGCAACGTTTCTGCTAACTTCAGAAAATTTACTTTATTTTCTATAATCATACTACTTAAAATATAGAACATACTCGCAAAGTGCTTTGGGTGGTTATTATCCCCCGTAATATGGCTCTGATATTGAAGTTCTAAGTGCATTGAGCTAAGTCAAGTACTTTCCGAAAGTAGAATCCAAACCTGTAAAAGTTAGATTTATGAATACCTATAATACGAACTGGCACTACTTAGAACGAATCGACAGTTTTATTCTACAATGATAATGCTCATACTTTATTTCCAGTGACGTTTTCCTCATACCTTGCTGCTATCACTAATGTAACGCTACCAATACCATTGGAATTATAGAATTAAGGATCAAGCTTTCGAGTATTTTAGTGGGATGTTAATGGATCGAAGATATATTCACTTAACAAATAAAAGAGGCAAATAAAACTTAAAGTGGATGTAAAAGCCAACAAAATTGATGTAAATTACTTAATACACTGCTGAGAAAAATTGTATATAACTATAATTTAAGGCAAATATTTTTGCACACAAAAAAAAAAGGGACGAAAGTTAAATAAATGTTTTCTTTATTTTTAATAACCAATTTTTTTGTCACAATGACAAACCAATGTGTTGTTAGTCGATGGTTGCTAAAAGATAATAAATAACAGTGGGACGGCATTATTTTCTGGTAATTTAACACCAGAGATCCAAACATCATCATCAATGGTACAAGTCATTCTTCAAAACTTCAAGTATTTGCAGCATTACTGGATCAAGAATGATAAACATTATAATCTTTGTTAGTCGATATTTATATATTGCACATATTTTTAACATCATTGGTTCTAATGTGGTCAAATAATAATCGATAAGAGTTTGTGTTTACAACAGCACGCATTCTTAACAACATAAAGTCTACAGTGTGAGTCATTTTTAACACATCAAACACGTATTCTTAACAACATAAGGTCTACTGTGTGAGTCATTTTTAACACATCAAACACGTATTCTTAACAGCATAAGGTCTACTATGTGAGTCATTTTTAACACATCAAACACGTATTCTTAGCAGCATAAGGTCTACTGTGTGAGTCATTTTTAAAACATCAAACACGTATTCTTAACAACATAAGGTCTACTGTGTGAGTCATTTTTAAAACATCAAACACGTATCCTTAACAACATAAGGTCTACTGTGTGAGTCATTTTTAAAACATCAAACACGTATTCTTAACAACATAAGGTCTACTGTGTGAGTCATTTTTAACACATCAAACACGTATCCTTAACAACATAAAGTCTACTGTGTGAGTAGATGTTTTTAAAACATCAAACACGTATTCTTAACAACATAAGGTCTACTGTGTGAGTCATTTTTAACACATCAAACACGTATTCTTAACAACATAAGATCTACTGTGTGAGTCATTTTTAAAACATCAGGTATTATACATCTTAAAATGTAACATGAGTTAACCAACACCTGTGTAAGACTCAACAAAGCACAACAATTTGACTTTCCACAATTTGTGTGAACAACTATATAATCTGGCTATGTTCTGTCTGCTTTCGCCATCCTTTTAACATTAAAGGTTCTAACATGATCAAGTCACTACAAAAACTATTATGATAATCAATTATCAGTCCCTGTGTTAAACGAAAAATGTACCTGTATCATCTATTGTGATGAAACAATGAAATATAAGCATTTCTGGAAACAACACGTAATTATAGCCTTAAAGTTTATAATACTTTGTGTTCAACTAACTTCGTTGTTTTCTATGAACTGTATCATTTTACATAAAAACATATATTAACTCTTCTAATCTTAACTTGTCCATATCATTAAGTCTAGTATGATCAGCCTTTCAACAACGATACATTCAACACAACAATCATTTTTAAAATCACAAGATATAATTGTGCGTTCAATTCATCCCGAAGCACAAGCTTCAGAAATGTTAGTTTCAAAGTTATGCTTAATAAAACACATTTATATACGAATTAACGTTTAAAATATACATTCATTTCACCATACTGTGAACTAAACAGTAAAAATGCTTTTAAGCTGTGAAAATTATGTATTCCTTAAAATGTGACCACTATTAAATATTCTGACAATAAGCAAATAAGGATCCAAGAGAAAGACAATGTCACTTTCGATACAAATAAAAATGTTTGATTTTGTCTTATATGATTTGTCTTAACATTGTTTTATATGCACTCAGCAGGTTCAGTTTCGTAACATTTTGTCCCGAAGAAAAGACTTGTTGAAGAAAACCATTAATGGTAAAATGGATATGAATATCTTTATATAGTGTCAAATGTACTCGCTTACTAACGAAAAGCATCAATAACAGTAAGCGTTGGCTATCAAGAACTCGAGGTCGATCAAATATACAAACACTAGTTTAAAACAAGAGCTCAGTCAGCATCGTAGGTTCACATTCCTTACAAAGTTGTGCCGTTTGTTGTCTATACGGCATTCTAACGAGTTATATTACAAAATAAGACTATAATAATAATGACTCAATATACCACAATTCTGGCAATAATTTTGTTAGCGGTGTCATACATTCAATGAGTTAGTAAAGCAATGAGCAGCACAGAATATTACAGTTGCTAGGCAGCCAGCTAGCGTACATGAAATTATGAGTATTGCTACGTAACCGGGACTTGCGTGTAAGATAATGGACATGAGTAACGCTAGGCTAATCAGCTATTGTATATGAAAAGATGCATGCAAGTATTGTGAGTAACAAACCATTGTATGCTAGAAGATGTGCGAGAATATTGTTAGGTACCCAACTATTGTATACCAAAGACGTGAGTATTGTTAGATAACCAACTATTGTACACTTGTATAAAGACGTGAGTATTGTTAGATAACCAACTATTGTACACTTGTATAAAGACGTGAGTATTGTTAGATAACCAACTATTGTACATCAGACGACAGGCGGGAGTATTGTTAGATAACCAGCCATTGTACGCAAAACGATTGTTAGATAAATAACATCAGAAGATAAAGGTAAATACTGCTAGAGATCTAGCTATTGCACATGAGGAAAGATATGTGAGCATTGCTATGTAATCATGTAACCTACATGAGAAAATGGGAGTATATAACGCCCACAACAGAGGGATAAAGTTAAGGATCATATTGGTTTGGTGTATCAATATAGTTACTCTATTGTGATACGAATCCAGTATAATATACACAAAACTCAAGCCTGACATTTCTATGGAACTCGAAATCAAATTATCTTTACTCAAACCCTTCCATTTTTGAGCAAACAAATTAAAAGCAATTTGTAATAAGTAACATTATTAAACAAATAAAGAAAAGTATTTAACTACATCTTACAATTGTTTCTAATCTTGTTTAAGTCAAAATAACATATACTATAACAACAATAAATATTATATTATCATCGGTCTTAGTGACTATAGTCATAATATCTTTATATAACACCGTCTGTTAAAAAGCAGTCACACAATTAATATTATTATTATTATAAATATATATATCGTGTTTTTAAATATAATGTTGTTCAGACTGACAAATAACTATTAAGATTTACAAAGAGTTTATATTGTATTTCATCCAGGGAAAACCCGTGACTGAACGGAATTCATTTAATAATTATTCTTTAATTAAAATATATTCTTAACGATCAAAGTTGAACTTACACTGTGACCATATTTTTGTGATACCTAAATAACTCCAAAAATAAGTATTTTCGATGACGAGGAACACACTTTGAGATTAATAGTGCTTGGAGACGGCTTGAATGGGTAACGAAGAATAACTTAATATAAGTTTAACATAACAACAAATGTACAACGTTTCGACAAGGTTTTGTCATCATCAGGTACAAAGTTTTTCTTCATTACCCATTCAAGCCGTCTCCAAACATTAATACGTATTTTCTCCTCTGTCTTAGGGTTGTCATACTTTGAATTATGTTAAAGTATTATACTTAGAGAGGTTATGATGCACTTTACCTCCTTCCACGAATCCGTTCAGGACAACTAAACAGAGAAAAATGCCAGCGATGGTTCGGATACTCTGGGCACTGTAGAACCAGGGTTTTCTTCTTGCACTGGTCGTGAGTGAAATTCTATTTTCCTTGAATAACATGATTCGAGCAAAGCATAAACAGTATCAGATACGATATTTTACTGTGTAAAGTTTACAGTCCAGCTATCTTATGCGTTTATTACGTGCCTGACGTTACAGTCTGATTGGTTAGTCACAAACGGGAGTGAAAGCACGAACTACCAAGCAACTAAGTAGGTCTTTCCGGTTCTGGAGTCCGTTCTCTAACAGTGCAAACTCTAACTCTATACGGCTCTTAGGAGAGTCACGTCTTCTTAGCAACCTACGACCTCCACATAGAAACCGTCACGTGGCAGATTCTAGCCAGTCAACATTGGGTGTTGTCGATCAGTCACTGACGTATTCAGGATGAACAAGATCCCGCTAAAACTTCTTGTCGTATATTCTCTGTAGTGAGCTTGGTAAATTCTGAAAACAATACGAGCGACGTGCACTACTCCTAAACGCGAAACATACAAGAAAAGCTGTAAGGAATGAAGGTAAACAAATAAATGCTAATCTCAAACGCATTAATATAAAAATGTATATATCTTTCAAATCACTTACGCCACTATCAATCTGTATTTCACAAATCATAAGCATTTGTTGAAATAGAAACTAAAATAATACATTTTTAACTATTAATCTACTTACATTTAGAGTATCATCACAAATATAAGTTACTGGGTTAACAGATCTTATTATAAAATTGGAGACATTGAAGTATTGGATAACGATTTCTGAAGGCATATTTAGCTATTTTGGAGATTTTATGAGGACTACTGAAAGTCTAAATGAGAGCTATAGACCAAGTATAAATTAGACAAAAACGTTTTCTACAGGCCTTGTTAGATGGACAGAGAGGAATGAGATAAAACTTTATAAAGGCTCGTAAATTAAACTTCTATAACCAACAAATAAAACCTTATTAATTAATTCGGTTTGTAAAAACGTATTATTACTGATAAGCTCTTTCATAAAAAAAATATGCTTATCACTATTAGTCTATAACTTCGTTTTTGTAAATAAGATCGATATTTCTCTTACATAAATTCTTAGAAACCTTCATGATGTTAGGAAAACACGTAGATTCAATATATCAGTTTAACGATACGATACCTATAACCCGAGCACTTCTCTCTTCTTCTGGGGCAAACTGAGAAACCTTGATATTGTGTGTACGTATATCCTCTCTGTAGAATAATATCAAAATGATAGGGGTTACTGAAAATTCTTATCACTATCCATTACCTGTAGCCCCCCAGTGGCACAGCTGTAAGTCTGCGGACTTACAACGCTAAAAACCGGGTTTCGATACCCGTGGTGGGCAAAGCACAGATAGCTCATTGTGTACCTTTGTGCTTAACAAACAAACCCTTACCTGTAACTGAACGATCAAGTTTCTGGTGAAGTTCGAAATTCCTATTGTCCATGAACTGGGACAACCCGATGACGTTATCCTTCGTGTTTTTTTTTTTTCTTTTTTAAGATACAAGAAAAAGACTACAGTATTCACAGTATGTTCTAAGTAACATGTTGTCTAGAGTTTTATCACTAAACATTGTAAATGGTATGTTGTCTAGAGTTTTGGTAGTACACATTGTAAGCAGTATATTACCTACAGTGTTGGCAGTATACATTGTAAATGGATGTCTAGAGTGTTGGCAGTATACATTCTAAAGGGACGTCTAGAGTGTTGGCAGTATACATTGTAAATGGATGTGTAGAGTGTTGGCAGTATACATTCTAAAGGGATCTAGAGTGTTGGCAGTATACATTGTAAATGGATGTCTAGAGTGTTGGCAGTATACATTGTAAATGGATGTCTAGAGTGTTGGCAGTATACATTCTAAAGGGACGTCTAGAGTGTTGGCAGTATACATTGTAAATGGATGTCTAGAGTGTTGGCAGTATACATTCTAAAGGGATCTAGAGTGTTGACAGTATACATTCTAAAGAGATGTCTAGAGTGTTAGCAGTATACATTCTAAAGGGACGTCTAGAGTGTTGGCAGTATACATTCTAAAGAGATGTCTGGAGTGTTGGCAGTATACATTCTAAAGGGACGTCTAGAGTGTTGGCAGTATACATTCTAAAGGGACGTCTAGAGTGTTGGCAGTATACATTCTAAAGGGACGTCTAGAGTGTTGGCAGTATACATTCTAAAGGGATGTCTAGAGTGTTGATAGTATACATTCTAAAGGGATGTCTAGAGTGTTGGCAGTATACATTCTAAAGAGATGTCTAGAATGTTGGCAGTATACATTCTAAAGGTACGTCTAGAGTGTTGGCAGTATACATTCTAAAGAGATGTCTAGAGTGTTGGTAGTATACATTCTAAAGGGATGTCTAGAGTGTTGGCAGTATACATTCTAAAGAGATGTCTAGAGTGTTGGCAGTATACATTCTAAAGGTACGTCTAGAGTGTTGGCAATTTTTTTGTAAATGCAATGTTGCCTAAGTGAAAAAAGCAAATTGTAAAACAGCTTTTCTGCTAGAGTTATCTTTGAACGTAGTTGTCAGTTTGTTACCAGTGCATCACATTTCACTTGATCTTATCTACAACTGTTAATGAATTATGTAACATAATTGTAATTGTAGCAGAAACCAAAATATGTATTAAATATTTTTACTCATTCAAAAAAGTATACAATTAGTGAAATTTCAATAGACAGTTTTTCCTGTAAATAATTATACATGAATCAGGAGATAGTTTGTGTTCAATTCTGCGGGTATTTAGCGAAATACATTTTTTGTACTATTATAATTATCAGTAGGGACTTGTACTTTGTGTACGCCTTTTAACATGAATTGCTGTTGTGTGACATTTTTCCCGACAAATTTCAGAATAACACGTATAACAACTGTAACATTTCTAAGCACTATAGAAACCGAACTGTATAAAATGCCTGCATTTTCCAAACAGAGATCAGAATGACGTACATTGTAACATGTGTGACATTTCTTTACTGTGATCAAAACGAATTTCTTAAGTTGTTTAACATATGTAGTATTTATCAGAGCTAACAGCGAAGCGCATAACATATGTGGTATTCAGTAAAAGTAATCAGTACGAATCGCTTGGCACACGTAGAGATAAAAGCAAAGTGTATAACATGTGTATCATTTTTCAACTATGCTAACAACAATAATATGGCACGCGTGACGTTTTTCAACACCTATAAGAATGAAGTATATGGCATAAGTAGCATTTCATAATTCTGACAGGAAGAAAATGTGCAGATGTGTAACATAGTGTGAGATTTCTCACCAGTAATCCAAATAATGTGGGTAAAATTAGTGGTATTTCTCAGTTATGATCGGAAATATACAGAAATAAGTTCATAATATGAGTAACATTTCCCATCAGATGGTGTCATATCATTTATAGCATGTATCAGTAGCGATGAAAAATAAGCTGTGTGTGTGTCATATCACCCATAACATTTTTCAGCAATGATGATACCAAATTATGTGTCTTATCATCTGTAGCATTTTTCAGCAATGATGATACCAAATTATGTGTCTTATCATCTGTAGCATTTTTCAGCAATGATGATACCAAATTATGTGTCATATCATCTGTAACATTTTTCAGCAATGATGATACCAAATTATGTGTCATATCACCCATAACATTTTTCAGCAATGATGATACCAAATTATGTGTCATATCACCCATAACATTTTTCAGCAATGATGATACTAAATTATGTGTCATATCATCTGCAACATTTTTCAGCAATGATGATACTAAATTATGTGTCATATCATCTGCAACATTTTTCAGCAGTGATGGAAACGAATTATGTGTCATGTCACCTATAACATTCTTCACCAGTGATGGAAACAAAATATGTGTCATATCATCTGTAACATTTTTCAGCAATGATAGAAACAAATTATGTGTCATGTCACCTATAACATTCTTCACCAGTGATGGAAACAAAGTATGTGTCATGTCACCTATAACATTCTTCACCAGTGATGGAAACAAAATATGTGTCATATCATCTGCAACATCTCTCAGCAATGATGGAAACAAATTATGTGTCATGTCACCTATAACATTCTTCACCAGTGATGGAAACAAAGTATGTGCCATATCATCTGCAACATCTCTCAGCAATGATGGTAACAAAGTGTGTGTCACATCATCTGTATATTTTATCAGTAACGATGTAATCAGAAGTGTAACTTTTTTTCATTTCCAGGATTACTTCAAAGACATTTCTTCGAAATATTAAAATTACCATGTTTTTTAATAATTTCTTATAACGATCACTTGTAATCTAGACGACATCAAGTTTCTCGATACAGAAAAAAACATGAAATTTAGTTTGTATTCCACCATATCTGCAATAACAAGTTATATTTTTATTTCTTATGGGCCTGAAGGTATATTATAGCTTTTAATTATAACTATCAATGAAGGTATCTATACACAGAAGGTTTTATTCAAAGCCCGAGTTTTCTAATGTATTTCATAGACTGTGTTCTTAGACATCGTCTGGGAAGTACAATAGGTTGATATTTTTCTCAAGCTTTCACTAAACCTTCATAAATTTCCTGCATCGTTTCTAGAAGAAGAAAAAAAATTTCAGTGTTGAAAACAACCGTTTCTATATGAATGACGAGAGTAACTTAGTTTCAGAGTTCTCCTGTTTCAAACACGTGAATAGTTGATGAAAGAAACACCTGTACGTGGCTTGTACGGCTGTTGTTGTTGTTGACATTTGACGTCATAAATTCGCTTTCAACTATTTTCATATGAACCTTACAGAAACATTTCACAAAGTGCTATACCTACTATTAATTTTGTAAAAATGTTTGAAGTATACCAAGTATCATTAGTGTGTTAACAATTTGGAATATACCAAAATACTATCTATGCACTACTAATACCTGTGTATTTGAATTATATCAGCTCAAATATCTTTACAAGGAATGTTTAATAATATCAATGCAAGGGATATTTTCTGATGTGAACTTCAGCGTGATTACTATAACGACTTCTAAGTCACTCGTGAACCAACGCTAAAAACCTGGTTTCGATATCCGTGTTGGACAGAGCACAGATAGCCCATAGTGTGCTTAACTTCAAACAAACACTTGTGAACTTCAGCATGATTACTATAACGACTTCTGAGTCACTCATGAATTTCAGTATGAGTACTATAATAACTTTTGAGTCACTCATGAACTTCGATATGAGTACTATAATGACTTTTGAGTCACTCATGAACTT